GATTTAGGTAAACACTATACCAAAATTATGTGTAGAATTTTTTTTCTTAAAGCACCAAGAGCAGTTTCATAGGCAAATTTTGAAATAGAAAATATTTTTTTCTTAATTTTGCCGATCAACCTGTCACACATTCCGGACTTGCTAGAACAAAATAATTAATATTCTCGAATGATCGGCATGCACCTTAACATAACGATAATATATAGAATTCGAGTTGACCGCAATAGTCAAGTCATCGCACATATATAAGGTGTGAAAAATAGACTATGCATAACAATATGTGACGAACAGAGTCACGCCGACAAATCAAATGCTAAGAATTGTACAGACACATTAACTTGCCTGTAAACCATACACTACGTACTTTGTACTCCGTTCCTGGTATATTATTTCTCATGTTATATATTATTATGAAATTATAGCAGATCAATTAACTGGGTATCTTTTGATTTTGATTAAACTTCATTTAATTTTTATAGGGAACAAGTATGTTAATACATTAACAATTTCATATGAAAATGAAAATACTTCAATATTGTCCAAAGTGATTCAGATCTTCGGTAGTAAGTTGGCTTTTAGAAGCGCTTTCAATAATATTTTCGGCTTTCAGTGATTTTTAAGGTAGTACTTTAGATTATCGGTAGCATTTTTAAAACTTTCGGCTTATATATTTCCCTAAAGTATATTCGATACTTCATAGTTGCTTTTCATTAGTATATAAATAAATATATATTTACCTTTTAAACGTCTCTTTATAAAATTTTTCTAAAAATAAAAAGGCTTCGCAATATTTTAATCATGATTTTATTTTACAAAATTTTCACTGATATCAAACCAAACGATATTCTTAATTTTTTACTGTTTCTCCTATGTTTTTACATAATTCATTTTTATTATAGTTATTTTACTCGTATTAATCCCCTTCCTGGTCCAATACCAATTCCAATAATTGGAATTTTTATGGTGAAGAAAGATCTTATTGATCAAATCAATAAATTAAGTAAAATTTATGGCCATAATGGTATATTTGAATTTTATATTGCCGGCAATAGACAAATTGTAATTACCAAAGCTGAATATGTAAAAAAATTTTTGGTTCCATCCTCGAAAGATTGCAAGATTTATTGGAAAAGATTCCCAAAAGTCGAGGTTTTTGAAGAACTTGGTATTCATCAAATGGGATTATCATTTAATGAAAATTTCAATAATTGGAAATTTTATCGTCAAATTTATATGCATCAAATCGAAGAAATAAGTAATTCAAATGAAACTAGTAAATTATTAAATAAATTATTCGAAGAATTATCAAATTATTGGATAGATTTGAAGAAAAATAATTATAATTCAGGAATTATTGATATACCAGCTTGGACGAAACGATTTGCAAATGATTTTACGTTCTTATTGTTGACAGGAAAGCGACCATTTGCAATTAATCATTATTATCGTAAATTAAAAAATGAAAAAATTACAAAAAAGATGATGGATTCCGAACATTATATTGAATGCTTAACTTATTTTTTAGTTAATATTCAAATAGCATTTACTCCAAAATTTTTAAGATTACTTATCAGAAATCGTGTAGATAAATTTTTAAATGCCCGTAATTTTTTATTTGAAAAAATTTTAGAAAGTGTCAAAGAAAGGAGAAAAGAAATTGAAGAAATCGGTAGCAGTAATTGTTTTGACGCGAAACAATTAAAAGATGATCCACTGACATCTTTTATTATTGCCAATACTCCATACGAATCTGGTTCTCAAAAAAGTGTTTATTCTTCTTTAGTAAGGCCAATGAATGATGACGAAATAGGTTCCATTTTGTATGATGCACTTACTGGAAGTACGGATTCTGTATGTATAATAAATTATGGTATGGAGTATAGAGATAAGATATTGGGATGAATTATAAAAATTATAATAGTATTATGTGAATAATTCTTGACATTTTATTTCTCTATACTACATATCTTTATTTTATTTGTAAGATGCTTAAATTATTATTATTATTATTTAATTCTTTAAATGTATGATCGTGTTAATAGGTTGCAAGTGCATTTAGTTTTGTGTTATATGACATTGCACATAATCCAGCCGCTAAAACAAAATTATTAGATGAGATCAACTCAGTTTTCAAAGATGATTCAACCAGACAAATAACTTTAGATGACCTTGAAAAATTAAAGTATTGCGAAGCAATTGTTTTAGAATCATTAAGGATGAGGTCACCTACTGCCATAATTGCAAGATATAATAAAGAACCTGATGAGGTAGCCGGATATAAATGGCCACCCAATACTTCATTCGTAATGCATGTTCGTGGAATCAATAATAACCCTCTTTATTGGAAAGATCCTGATAAATTTATTCCGGAAAGATTTTTCAAACCCTTAGAGACTGATAAACTATACAGTTTTTTATCTACATCATTTGGTGCAGGTTTAAGATATTGTCCGGGTAAAAAGATTGCAATGATTGAAATAAAAATGTTATTAATTTTAATTTATAGAAAGTTTGATATTGAACTTGTAGATATGAAAGCACCCCTTGAAGTTTTTCCATCAGTAATGATTACTTGCAAAAAATTAGAAGCTAGAATTATTCCTAAGAATAACTAATTTTAAATTTTAACTAGTGCTTTTCCAACTGTTCAAACTTATTATTTAATTTCAATTCTTATATTATATAATTTATTAATTAAAACAATAAAAATATCATTTTCTGTGTAATTATCGTTATTGTTGGAAGACAACTATTCCATATTCAACTACTTAACTACATCGACATTGCATGAATTTACAATAACCATTTACTTTAGTTTTTAATACAGACTTGGGGCTGTAAAAAGGGACGAATTTGATAATTATCTCTTATAATTTTATAAAATTAAAAAAAATTTTTTATCAAATTTGATTAGGCCATATAAAATTAATGAATTGGTTTTCATAACCCGGCCGGGTCAAAGTTTGAAAACTTTTACAGCTGTTTTCATTATTTTTGGGACATCTGGTAAAAAATTGACCGAATAATTTTTTGCCGATTCGATAAGCGTCTTTATAATATTTAACATATATGAATAAACTAAAGGATCTTTAATCGTCAAATCCATTGTTT